CATCTTTTCATTTGACAACCAATTCTTTAAATGGCTATTATGGCGCGCCACAAGATTTGTTATTTGGAGAAAATTTCCATCAGCATCATCATTAGTGCCTCTGAATGCCAGTTGTTGTCTTCCTAATGTTTTAGCGATGTCCAATAATATCTTTATTATCTCCTGGTTTCGTTGGTTGTTTGCTTCCTCTTGAATTTTGGCCGCCCGCAATTGCTTATTGAGCATAACATCGACATGCTTTATGTTGTGTGCAAATTGGGCAAGATCGCTTAATGCAGCTTTATGCGCTTGGCTTGAGAAGTGCTGTGATAATTTCCCTTTCTTTTCCTTGCCGATGCTTTTCATTTTGTCCCATCCTTTAATGCCTTTAACCCAAGCATCAGAAGATCGCTCTCTACCAACTCCAGTTGGAAATAGACAACAAACAAAACACGAGGCTGTGTCTTCTTTCACGCTATACTCTAGATGTGGATATTCCTTATACCACCCGCTTGAAAATCTACACTGTTTTTTTGTTGAGATTTCTTGGCTTTCTGGATAACGCTTCAACTTTGGCTGGTAGGGGCCATTCTCGATGATTTTTTGTTTCTGTTGGTCGCTGAGTGTCCGAGGGCGGTCAGCAGGATCTTGAAGAGAGGTAAAATCAGCGTCAACTTGAGCCATGCCAATTTCTAGGTTACTTTCACGTATTTTGTGAAGCGTAGTTGCACAGTTTTTCTCCATATTTGTTGAATGTTCTCTTACTTTTGAAATTGCCTCAAGTACATCCGTCAACAGTTCTTCAGGGTAAATAACCTCAGATGATAAAGCTTTTGTTATAATACTATCGCACTGGTGAGAGTAATCTACTAATCGCTTGATTTCTGCTGCATGGACTGTCCAAGGAATCTCTGGATCATCTGAGACTTGTATGTCAGGATCATCGCATGCTCTACCATAATTTGTGTTAATTGTTTCACTGTCAGTGTCAATCTGTTGTCAGTAAAAGATAAATGTAGTGTATAAGGCGGCAATGAGGATTAGTTAAAAGAGTGAGCTATACATATAGCATGTAAGATTGTAAGAAAAAATATAGATAACGTTTTTTGCGAGTTTCTAAGCAGGTTGGAAATAATTTGGAATTATACCAGATATTTTCCGTACTTTTTTATGCGGTAAAGTTTAAAAAATATTAAAAACAACATTTGAAAAAGTTCCATGAAACTAGCACTCCATGTAAGTGTAACGTCTATTACAAGTAGAATTACAATCACCTCTTCTTCCTCTGATTCTGAAATTGACAATATTGTTGATACTGCCTGTGCCTGGTTCACATCGTCATAAGACACCGTTGTATTACACTCATCACCTCTTTCGTCATTACATATGTTATGAACTGCCGTTTCATGATGATCAAATTCAAGGACTAATTCTCCGTGCATCAATACTTCATCTTCATCAACATGTTCAATTTGAACTTCCTGTGTATAATGACGGTATTCAAATTTATAATAACAAAATTTAGTTATATTCTTATAAATTCGAAAGAAAATTTCCTAATTCTTGTTTAAACTTTATTTACCTTTTGAAATACATCCTCCTGGTGTTCTAAAACTGTATCACTGAATGACTCTTCGGACTGGCGATTTATAGTGTTGTCGGTAACTGTAGCTACTGAAACTGGAAGTAACTCTTTCTGAAATTAACAACAGATTGTAATTAGTTCCCGTTAAAACCATAGCGGTATCAGCCATAAGGGAATTTATTTTTACCTTTCCATGTATATTGTTGCAAAATTGAAGCATTGTTTGAGCCAGATCAACCACAACTTTTGAGGTGCCGAGACCCTTGTGTTTGTTTGAGTTATGCTTCTCAAAATGATCGCTGTTCATTTCTTTCCCACATTTATTGCATTTGACTTTACATCTGTACTGCCTTTTCCGTTGAGTTTTTAGCTTTTTTTGAGGAGGGTCCGGTGCAACATCTTTGTCTTATCGAAACAAGATCGAAAAAATTGAAAGCCAAAATCAAATCGGGCACTTTACAAATTACAATTTGCAAACATTCAACAGTGACATTATAATTGATATTAAAATTATAAATTATAACATACCATCCATTTCATTTGCATATTATGTCGGATACATGTTAGCACGTCGTGAGCTGTGAGCAGATCTTTAAAACATAACAATGAGTCATAAAAAGCACTAAACCGTGAATAAACTTTCACATTTTCGTCTCGTTTGCATAACAATTACACATTTACACGTTTTCGATATTGAGGTGTCACACCCCCCCACCCCCCACCCCACCCCCAGGAGTTACGCCCCTGACAATTAGGTAAGTTGTTGACATAGATAATAAATAGCAGGGGTCCTAAATTGGAGCCTTGCGGCACACCAGTTTTAATTGGTTTCATTTCTGAAAATATGGTGTACCTCCGATCGAACAATAATTTCAGCTTTATTTGAAAACGCTAAATCGATAAGTATACTAGTGTTTTCAGTTACTCGTGTTGGTTCTTTGATAAGTTGCTCAAATTGATATAATTCCATCATATCTTTTAATTTATCTGTATGTGATTGCATGCCTTGTTTAGACCAGTCACAATTAAAATCACCTATGCAAATCACTTCTACATTTTCTGCATCTATTTTTTCTAAAACGTTCTCATAATCGTCAAAAAGCTCAGCTTTTGAACTAGGTGGTCTATACCAGGCATTAATGAGAAAGGATTTTGCTTTAGGTTTCATGACTTCTACTGTGACCATCTCAAGGCTTTCTATCATTAACTCATTTCTTAGTTTATAGTTAATTTTGTTCCGTATGTAAAGTAATACCCCTCCTCCATGTCTATTTCTGTCTTTGCGTATAATTTCATAACCGTCAATCAAAACTTCATTGTCAGCTATAGTCTCATCCAACATTGTCTCGTTTAAGCAAATTATATCAAATTGTTTTTTTCTTAAAAATATTCGGAATTCATCAATGTGTTTAATAAGGCTTCTAATGTTTAAATGAGCTATTTTAAATCCCTTAACACTTTGTATTTCTTTTTGAATGCATTCATAATTTATTCTGGTTGACGAATTTTGCATGCTACTTGATTATTACGATTTTCTTCAAAACCGGAATACAACATGCTCTCACAGTTATTTTCTCTTAAATCTTGGTCAAAATTTAGCATGCCTTCATAGATTGTTTTCCCATCTGAAACAGAATTAAGCATGCTTTCCTGATTATCATGTTTCTCTGAATGAATTATACTGTTATCCTTAGAGCTATCCTTGGGGGTTTCTAGACATCAATTATTTATAAAATGAATAATGTTCTTGGCAAAGGCTGCAGTTCCCATTTTATTTAAATGCAGTCCATAATGATTTAAGTGTTTTCCACCTATATTATTATGTTTAATTAATCCCCAGTTTCTTTGTCTACAACAGCTTGCGAGAATTGTATTTACCTCTCTGATCTTTGGTACCAGGTCAATTTGATCTGTCCTTGTTATTATTTCTGATATGTTAATTCTTGTTGATGGATGCGTTTCCGAAATAGCTGTACATAAATTTATTATCTTGTTTGCGACATCACTTGATGATTTAGCCTTCAGATCATTTGTTCCAACATGAATGATTAGATCATCAGGTTTTTTCTTTAAGCATGGTTGTACATGGTGACTGATTGCTTCTACATTTGCACCACTATAACACCGCGGAAAAACGTCTGCGCATGCACCAAATTATGAAAATATGGCGGGGAATTTGAATATCAATTTCTAAAACAAAAACATGCTTATTAATTGGTCAAAAATTAGTAAAACAAACGAGAAAATATAACAATTGGGTAGACTAGACATTAATTGAAAGCGTCCTGGAATTTAAAGTATGGAATGAAATATAATTCATGTAAAAAATTGTTGATTTTAACGGACATGACTTCGAAAATTTTTGCAAAATTATTCAAAACAAAAATTCAAACTCAAAAGTTAAGAAAATTCTCGAAAAGTTAAGCTTCTTAACCCACTCAAATTGTAGAATAAATCCTAAAGTTTAATTATTGTGAACACGGAAATTTTTTATATTTGGCGACACAGTTTTTTTTAAAGAAATATATCTCAAACGAAAATTCGGAAATTGTCGTTGCTTAGTTGATAAACAAAATGTTTCAGACGATAAATTTGTCAACAATCACCTTTAGTCCATGTTCTTGTACAATACAATTTCTTGAACCTTCTGGCTGTATTTATTCCTAGTTTTTAGAATGACATGTTTATTTTTGCAATCGAAATCTGGCTGTAAAGACGTACAATGAAGTCACTCCTTTTTACCGCCATTTTGAGCCTTCGGAAACGTTTGGAACAGCTTTTCATCAAGTTCGCAATACTATTACAGGTAAGGTTGACGCATGCGCAGACGTTTTTCCGCGGTGTTCACCACTGTAGGTTTCCAAGAATATATAATAAGTATAATTTATATCATAAATGATGCAAATTTCAATAGGTATGTTGTTTAGCCAATTTCGATAGGTATGTTGTTTAGCCAATAAGTAGGTTTTAACTTGCTTAAAGAAGGAAAACAAAGGTAGATTTTTAGTTATATCTGGGAGATCCTTCCATAAATCAATTGCCTGTTTACCAGTATTAGTTCGAAAATATGGTTTATATGTATTTAAATTAGATGAATATCTGGTATTATAACTATGAACATCTCTTGAAAATTGGAATAAATGATCAAATATGTGTGGCAACAAACCTTTGTGCCATGCATGAATACATTTCAAGGCATGTAGGCGATATACATTTTGAACTGTTAAGATATCAAGCAAATTTAGATCCTTTACTTTAACATTTGCCAAGTTCTTTTGTTTGGAGTAAAAATTATTCCTAACAGATCGGCGAGTAAATTTAACAATGAGTTTTGGTGGCGCGTTTGTATTAAAACTTGGCAAAGGATGGGCAATTGAAATATCTTCCCCACTCAAGGGCACGCCCATAGCCTTCCCGACTGACTTAACAATTGCACCTGCCGAGCAATCACTTGATTCTTTAATGCCTGTTATTTCCAAGCAGTCTCGGCATAGATATTGTGATAATTCTTCGATTTGGGATGTAGCTTGTAAGGAACGTTAACTTCTTTCAAATCATTTGTGATACTCTTAATGTTAACATTTTGGCGTTGGACATTCTCATTAGTTGACTTGACTTGGTTCAACAACTTGTCATATTTATCTGATAAAAACTTTACCATATTATTTAATTCTTCAAAAGTATTATGCATAAGCGATAACTTTTGGTGTATTGGTGCTAGTTCTTTCTTCAAGAACTCTTTAATTTAAGTTATTCTAAAGTAGCCATAATAGCTATTTAGTGTCAAGAAGTGGCGAAGCTAATTCACAACATCCGACCACCACCACAACGTGTATGCAATTGGAACGATTCCAGACTTCCTTTAAATGAGGAGAGGGATGAGGCAAGCTGTTACATAGTGATACTCCACTATAACTGAAGGAGCGCTTAAGATAATCAGTATTGGGCTTAGGAATAAACAACTTGGCCATTAAACTTTCTTAGTGAATATTGACAATGCCTGGATGAAAACAATTCTTGTAAGTACTAGGGAGATTGACCATTAAGAGTTTTAAACATAACAGCAGTTTTTTGTTTGACGGTTAACCGACAGAGTGTTACACTGCAGCTGATCTAGAAGTTGACTAGATGAAATATCGTAAGTAGAGCAGGTAATAACACAAGCTGCTCTGTTTTGAAGTTTTTGAAGCCTATCACTTACTTACTCCGAGCCCGTCCCATACTGGGGCACAATAGGAGAAGTGTAGCTACCAATTAAACTGAACTGATCATGCGTGTAATTTTATGTTGATTACTTTGTTGTTGATATATATATATATATATATATATATATATATATATATATATATATATATATATATATACCAAATATGTATTTAGAATCATATATGAGTAGAGTGCTCGATATACCGAAGTATAGAGCTAATATAGATAAAGATAAAATAAACCTGGTTTACTTCATAAGATTTATTCACTACAAACTAATAACTGTCAACTAACTACTAACTAACTGTCATAACTAACTACTAACTAACTGTCTACTACTAACTGTCATAGCGCGACATTTAAATTCACCTGATGAGTGTGGCAAGCATTGCTTGTCATACGAAACAAGTTTGTAGTGAATAAATCTTATGAAGTAAACCAGGTTTATTTTATCTATATATCTATATATCTATATATCTATATATCTATATATCTATATATATATATATATATATATATATATATATATATATATATATATCTATATATATATCTATATATATATCTACATATATATCTACATATATATCTATATCTATATATATATCTATATATATATCTATATATATATCTATATATATATCTATATATATATATATATATATATATACATATATATAT